AGGAATTTTATAAAATGCCTAGGCAATGTATGAAAAAATAATTTAATTATATACATTGCCTGAAATTGACAGGCTTTTTATAATTTTATATACTGCCTAGGCAATTTATAAAATGTCTGGATTTCATACTTTGCCGGTAACATATATGGGCAAATCTAAAAAACATGATCACTTCGACAAAAGAAGGGAAAATTTTTTAATTTGTGAGCACTCACGCATTGTTTATATCATTTTACTCATAATTATTCAATAAATCAGAAAATATCAATGTAATTAATATTCATAAATTGCTTCAAAAGTTAGACGGAAAACAAACTTTCGGGTATGCTATATCACAGTTACAAACGACCTGACCTGATATGTGAAATATAAAACAAGAAGTAAACAAAATTCAAATTATAGGGGAGAGTGGTCCTAAGTTGGCCGCCTAAGCAAATTGGTCGAAAATAGTAACAAAATGAAATTTAATCACTTCGGCAAGTATATATTAGTGTTCAGAGATCGTTTTGCTATAATTTTGTGGTATTTAGAACGTTATAGAATGGCTTTTGTAGTCTTAATACAATAAATAGTGAAAAGCTGCATTTTGGACATTTCAGAAATTGCGATCCTAAGTTGGCCACCACTTTTTTTCGCTTGTGTTTAAGGAAGAAATGCATATTCTTTTCAATTACGCAGAAATTTTACAAATTTGATACATTTAGGAGAATAAAAACGCATTATTTAACTATTTTCGTTTAGAAAATGAAGCAATATTTTATTTCATTTATTTATAGTGGTGGATGGCTGTAGAGACAGGCGTTTTTGTACTATGTTTTTTCTAATGTTTTTAAACCATTTTTTTTGTTTCTTGTCTTTGTTTAATTCCTACGTTACACTTTTACGGTCTTCCTCGTGATGAAAAACACAAAAAAGAAGTAAAACATAAATAAAAACAATAGGTGGCCAACTTAGGACCACTGTAGATTTTTACAATTTTCAAATTACTACGCTAATAAAAAAAATTTAATTAAAAAATCAACAGAACCTCTTATTACAATATTAAATAAAGGAACTAGCGCACACACTCATTTAGAAATTTTTAATTATTTATCTCTTGTAGCTGCTCTCGAAAAAACAAGAAAAATTAAATTTTTTTGGTCCTAAACAATATTATTGTCCTCACAATGCGTAGAAGAATCTTAGATTATAATTAGGTCCATAAATTATATCATCGTTTATCAATATATCATACCACAAAATTATAGATTCATCCAGTATACCATCTCTGAGAAATGCAGGGTGGCCAACTTAAGCCCACGGCCAACTTAGGACCACTCTCCCCTACTATTTTTTATTATTATTATAAATTTCATTAATTAGCATTTATAAAAATTAACTTTAAAAAAAATAATCGATTCTCTCATTCTATCCCGTTTGAGGATTTTTAAATCTAGCATCAGTAAATACTAATCAAGAAAAAAAGTATTTTTAAATATAATAAAAATGTAAAGGATAATATTAAATTACTTGAAGACATTGCGGTTTCTTTAGTTTTGACGTTAATGAATAGGTTACAATTGACAATTAGTATGAACTTCGTCATTTACAAAAAAAACATAAATGTTGGCTAATTTTAAAATCACAACTTTGCACCAACTTCAAAATACATACGTGAAAAACGACACGATGCAGTAAATCACGATTTTTATACATTCCTAATAAAATCTTTTTAAAGCATTTTACAGGTATATGTAAAAATTAGAGCTGTGCAAAATTCGAACCGAACCGAGTTTAGTTCGGTTTTGGGGCGCCGAAATGTCGAATGTCGAATATTCGACATTCGAACTGGGCGACTGAAATGTCGAATTTTAGAATTCGACATTTTAGCGTACCAAAACCGAACAAAACTCGGTTCGGTTCGAATTTTGTAGTAACTCGAATGTCGAATATTCGACATCCGAACTAAGCTAACTCGAATGTCGAATTTTCGACATTCGAACTGGGCTAGTTCGAAAAACCGACATTCGAACTAAGCTAACTCGAATGTCGAATTTTCGACATTCGAACTAGGCGAAAAAATTCGAACAGTTCGGTTCGAATTATTTTGCACAGCTCTAGTAAAAATGAGAAATCTATCAGTTACAAAAGAAATTATGTGATTTTGAATTATTGTGCAAGTGTGCCTTCAAATAAGGTGTCATTTAAATAAAGATTACACTCCACCTTTCAGAATATTTTGCCATTAAAGGTCAATTTATTTTAAAGGCACACGTTTTGTTAACATACCAAATTGTTAACAATCGTTTGTCAAATACAATGTGTACTTAGAAATTTTTAAAAATTAAATGCTTCAAAAACTACATACAAAAAAACTAAAATAATTTATTGTGGTTTAAATTAGAGTCACCCCTTATTAAATACTCACCATTTCGCTATTTTTTGTTGCACACTTTTCTCACTTAGTATATTTGAAATGAATAAATAAGAACTAATAATACACAAAATATCAGATTAATATATAAATTGCTTCCCGAGTCGAAATTTAAGCCCTACTTTCACCCTGAATTTTCAGGGTCTATTGAGTGTTAGGAGTAGTAAAGTAGGGTCTAATTCTAATACGATTAGACCCTACTTTGACTCCCAAAATAGGCGGAAATTTGCCAATCTTCCATTTGGAGAAGCAAAGGAGGGTCTACTTCTAAGAAACCTATACCGTACTTTTAAACCTCGTAGACCCTACTTTCATACTCCTAGACCCTACATTCTAAAAGAAAATTTTGAATTATTTTTTAATGCATTACTTGAAACACTGCGAATGCAAAAAGTACTCCAAATTCATAAATACTGATGTGTTTTATAGCGTCTATATACACTTCGTGTATATAGACGCTATAAAACACATAAAATTCCACTTTTACTCATCCCAAGTGCTTCAATTGAATCTGAGCAAATCTTTAAATTTTTCTTTTTCTAATTGTAGGGTCTAGGAGTATGAAAGTAGGGTCTACGAGGTATAAAAGTACGGTATAGGTTTCTTAGAAGTAGACCCTCCTTTGCTTCTCCAAATGGAAGATTGGCAAATTTCAGCCTGTTTTGGGAGTCAAAGGAGGGTCTAGTTTTTAAAAATTGTATTGAAATCAGACCCTACTTTACGACTTTTAAACCTGAATAAGCCCTACATTTTCAGAGGCTAAGTAGGGTCTAAATTTCGACTCGGGTTCAAAAGTTATTTTCAGTCGCATAACACATAAATTATTCAATTAACCACTCCAAATTTTTTCTGAGGCATTAAGTAGTACAAAATGTATTTCATCCAGAAGGAATTAGGTTTGTTGTAGGGCATACGTACATAAAAAAAGTAAAGTCACATAAAAGTTGAATGTTTTTTAGATTTACCCATATACATCTTAATGATTAATTATATTATTATTCCGTTAATTTTTAATTGTGTAATTAATTCTATTTACGGTTAAAAAAATTTGTTATTTGTTCAAATAAACAATCGCTTATTGTCTATTATGAAATCAATACACTCGGAGAAAAATTTTATTTAAACCAAATATAATTTATAGGAGTTAAATAAAGGTATATTTGTCTCAGAGCCTACCAAATTATTTAGTTGTTTTAAATAACAATTTTATTCGACATGTACACTACCGTCGGGAATTATCGGTACGGCTGCACGCACACGGCCCAAAAACATACCAATCTTTAAATCACGATTTTTTTGTAAATACAAATGTCAGAAAATTAACAAATATACCAATCGAAAGATTATTAAATTTTACGATTAATGATACATAACTGAAAATTTTAATAATTTATACAAAGATTGCAGCAATCGACAAATTTGACAAAAAAATTTAAAAAATAAAATTTTTTTGGAAATTTTTTCAACCTTTGCACATTTTTTAAAAATTGTAGAAAAAATTTGAAACTTACATAAATGTGATCATTCAAGTCTCATCTTTAATTTAAGACCAAAAGAGTTTAAAAATCTTAATTGGTTAGTGAGATATCATTATACACTGGAGCTTCACTTATTTTCACTAAGTCCAAACAAACTGAAAGGCAAAGTCGCACTTATTTTCACTCTGAAACGTAACATTCAAATTGATTTGATTGGTGGATTATTTAACATCAACCAATGAGAACGCACGGAGAACCTTTTAACTGAAAATAAGTGAGACTGGAAATAGTGAAAATAAGTGCGACTACAAATAAGTGAGACTGAAAATAAGTGAAGCTCCAGTGTAAACGTCCGAGCATATTTTTTGACAAATGCATTGAATTAGTCGATTTTGAACGGTTTTTGGCTGAAAATGCTCGGACATAAATCGTGATTTAAAGATTGGTATGTTTTTGGGCCGTGTGCGTGCAGCCGTACCGATAATTCCCGACGGTAGTGTACATAAAATTTCTGTTTATGCTAAATAAACTTTATTTGGAAGAAATAAAATTTTAGTACTCTCTAAATTTAAAATAGTAAAAATAACTGCCATTTTGCTTTTGAATTAGCAAATTTTATTAATAAATTAGTAAAAATTATTATTTATTAGTAGATTTTACTATGAAATATTAATAAACATTATTACACTGAGAGAAATGGATAGTCAGATTTTGATGTTAAAAAGATGATGTTACACGATACTATCATTATGCTACTGCCAACCATCACAGATGCTAAAAAAATATAGTTATGCTACCCCGTACTACCAAGATGTTACTCCTGATGATATTGATGGTAACGGTGACTATCTAGATAGCTGTCTGTATACGTAGCATTAAAGATGGTCACCCTAACCACAATTATGTTACCCACTACTATAAATTTCTCTCCGTGTATATTTACTACTAAAATTAACTAATTCAAAAGCAAAAAGTCAGTCACTAATTCAAATTAGTAAACATTTTTAATAATTTATATTTAGAAAGTAAGTAGTGAATGAATTTTGAAAAAATTGGAAAAAATATTCGAAACTGAAATAGAATTTTTTTGAATATGTTGAGGTACTTACGCGGGACAATAATTGCATACATAGCTGAAGTATGGAACACCAAGTGGTTCTACACTCTTGTTACATTTCGTCCAACCACAGCCCACTTGATGTGTCGATGCCCACACCATTTGAGTGTAATGTCCAACCTTCGAGAGTACGTTATGAGCCCTTGGTCCGTATCTGAATATTTTGTTCTCCAAATACCACGTCTTTATGGCGAAGAACCTGTACACACAAAAAAAATATGGTAAATTTGACTACTTTTTTACTATTTCCTGTAGTTCCTATAGGCGCCCGTAACATTATTTAGTAAAATGAACTATGACAGAATAGTTAGTCTAACTGTAAAATGTAGTAATAAATACCATTTTTACAGTAAATTTAACTACTAAAACAGTTATCTTAACTATTTGTTGTTAGTCATACTAACTGCTTCATTTAGTTGCAGTAACTAAATTTTCATAGTTCCTATAGGCGCCCGTAACAAATTGTAGTTGTAACAACTGTAAAAAATAGTTAAATTAACTATTTAAAGTAGTAAAATGAAATTATTTATTTGTTCTTTATTATTATTGAGGTCCATTTTTTTATATTTTCTCTTACCTATTTTTGTTCATATATAATTTATATATTAAATTCTTATACACCTAACAGAGAAAAATCCCCAAACGCCGGGGATTGAACGCACGACCCTAACATTCGCAAACCGATAACCTAACCACCTAACCACGCTCGCACGCTACGATGACTGGCATTGTACTTGAGGACATTCTTCTTAGATTCAGTCATAATAACTACTCCGTTTAGTTGCAGTAACTAATTTTTTAAGCTCAAGGACTTAGTTGAAATGTAGCCAGCATATGATTTTAAATGACTCAACGATAGTGCAGTAGTTAAAAGTACTGTTGAAAATAGTTATTTTCAGAATTTCTGTAGTAAAATTATCCACTTTTTACTAGTTATAATAAAATTAAACTTACTATTTTCATATAGTAAAAATAACATAGAAATTGTTGCTTTTGTTACGTCAAAACGAGAAACCTTTTTAAATATACCTAGCGTTCCTCGTTTTAAATTAGTTTCATAAATGAATCTAATTTGGGATGAGGATAAGTCAATGAGCCTACTAAATGTGAGAGAATAATTTATTTAAAAACCAACAAGAAAGAAAAGAGTTGACAAAATTACAATGAGTACAAAAATTATAAATCTTACTTAAAGAATAACGATTACTGGTGGTGTGATGATAATCTGTTGTCCGATCTCAATGGTGTTGAGCGGTAGACGAAAAGGGGCCTTCTGCTTGTTGTCCTTAATGGTTGGGTATTAATCCTCTTGTTTACACTAATGAGATAGTGTATTGTATTTTGAAAATATCTGCTTTCTTCCAGACGGTTGTCGCCTCTTGAGCAAATTTCGATGGTTCGAAATTTGGAATGTGTTGTTTCAATATTAGATCTTTGATTGTTGAGATTATTTCCAATTTAATAATTTTGGAAATTGTTTAAAATTTATATTTTGCAAATTGGTGTATAATAAAAGGTTGATTTACAGTTCACTTCAATTTTAACACTTGGGGATATATTGTTCACTTTCGAACAATGCACTTTGAAAAGAATACTTGAAGATATACTGTTCACTTTTCAAAGATGTACTTTGAATTCACTTGTAACTATGTGATGTGCTAACGTTGACTGGACGATGTAAACTGGTTGATTCCCAAAAAATTACTCTCTAGTCTCTTGTACAGAACGATGTGTTCAGGTTGATTTCTAAATAGTTACTCTCTGATCTGAGTAGAACTCATATCCCCTTTTATATAAAACTGTCTTCATCAATTCTTTGGAATCATACACGTGTCGATGTTGCTTGGATTTTAAGGGGGGTTGGAGCGACTGGCTGCAATGCCGTGAAGACTGTCTAAGAGGCGTGAGGAGTGATTATTTTCTCTCTCAATTGTGACTGCTAGGCGACTGTTGTCTCTCTCTTTTGTGGCTGGTAGGTTGCAATCCAGAGCGATAGTTTAAGGGGGGTTGAGGGGCGACCGTTGTACCTCTCAGTTCAGATTCCAGAAATTAGACACCTGCCTGCTTGTTTTATACACTCAAATGATTATGGGATTATATTAATCTGCCTGATGGATTATCGTTATTCTTTTTACATGAAAAGTATTACCCATCTTTCTTGGATTTGTTATAATTTATAAGTTTGTTTAAATACATATCAAATTTATAATGACAATTACCTTCTTATTAAATATATTGAATATAATGCAATAATATGAAGAGATTGTATGAATACGTATTTCAAATACGTTAGTATAATATATATGTATAATTCAATATGTTTAAAAGAAATACACACCTGAATATTATAGATAATTTAAGTAAATTAAGAAGTTACGGACGTAACACTTTTATGACTTTTGTAGTTATAAAAATAAATGTTTCTTACCACCATAGAGATAAATTATTAAAGGCTAGTAAGAATTGGTTCTTTTAACTACATTAAACACAAAAATAACAAATTCCAGCGGTTGTTCTTACTCTTTGGAACAGTAAATTTTAATTTATTTTGCAAATAGCAAGAAATGGATATTTCTACTACAGAAATTCCGAAAATAACTATTTTTAACAGTACTTTTAACTACTGCACTATTGTTGAGTTATTCACAATCATAACGTGTAGTAGTAATTTTAACTACATAAAACCTACTATTCAATTTTAGTTCCACTAACTATGGAAGTTTAGTTAACATGCTGCTGAATATGGTAGTTTTAACTATATTTTTTAACTGCACATATGTGGATACTTTTACCACTCACGTTTTTTCTCTGCAGAAAAAAATGATCTTTTCAACTGCATAAATAGTAAAAATAACTATTTTCAACAATTGATTTTACTATATGAAAACAGTAAATTTCTTTCTTTCTCTGCAACTAGTAAGAAATAGTTGTTTTAACTACATAAATCATAAAAGTAACAACTTTCAGAGGTTGTATTTACTATATAAAAACAGTAAGTCTCATTTTGTTTGCAATTAATACAAAATAGTTATTTTTGCTACCACAATAGTAAAATTAACTATTTTTAACAATAGTTTTTACTACTACACTATAGTTGAGCCATTTACAAGCATCTGTTAGTTATTTCAACTACGTAAAGTAGTTATTTTAACTACATAAAACCAACTACTTCATTTTGGTTCCACTAACTGAGGAAGTGTAGTTAAAATGCTGCTGAATATGGTAGTTTTAACTACTTTTTTTCTAACTACACAAATGTGGTTGTTTTTACCATTCGCATTTTTTTCTGTGTAGCATTGCGAATTTTGCAATGAATTTTATTAATAATATGATTACACTGTAAAAAAAGGGAGTTAAATTTTAACTCCCCAGGGGATTCTATAAAAGTCGCACTTATTGGGAAGTTAATGCCAGGGGAGTTAAATAAAGAGAGTTAAAACTTCACACCCAAATGCTAACTCCCCAAGGAAAAAATAACTCGCGCGGGTGTTGAATGAAAGGAGTTAGAAATTAACTCTCTTTTGGAGTTGATTTTTAACTCGTAAAATTTCACTTCCAACTCCCAAGTCCGTTAACTCCCTAAATTTTTTACAGTGTAGTTTATTTTTATATTATTCGTTAGTTTACACTAAAAAAAACAATGTCTAGAACCGATTACATCTTTAAACTGAAATGATTAAAAAGTAGCTAATTTTAAAAATTTTAAACTAAAAGTAATAAATTTCTTCGCAAAAATTCAATTATGTTCAATAATTTTTTTTAAATTCTCTTTAAAATTTCAATTATTTTCAAAAATGATCAAATTTTTCTCCGAAATTCAATTATTTTTAAAGAGTTTCCTCAATCACAATTATTTTCAATATCTACTATTTTAATAGTTTTCCAAAAGAATTCAAATATTTAAAAAAAATTTTAATAAACTTTAAATTCTTCTAAAATTAGTTAAAATTAATATATTTAATAAATTATTACAAAAATGAATTTATAAAAGAATTTTAGTTTGAAAACAACCTAAAAAAATTTAAATTTGGAAAAGTTACAAATGATTGCAGACATTCGATTATTTTCAAAAGTAATAAAATTCTTCGCACAAATTAAATTATATTTAAACATTTTTAAAAATTCTCGTCAAAATTTCAATTATTTTCAAAAATTATCAAATTCTTCTCCGAAATTCAATTATTTTCAAAAATTTTAATAAAATTCTTGGCAAAATTTCAATTATTTTCAATAATTATTTCCCTCCATTCAATAATTTTCAATATCTATAATAAAATTTTTCGAAAAAATTCAATTATTTAAAAAAATTCTAATAAAATTCTACGCAAACATTTAATATTCTCATAAATAATGGAAACATCACATGAATTCGATTATTTACTAATTTTTTATAAATTTCTTCCGAATAATTCAAATATTTTCATAAATAATAAAAAGGATTAAAAAAACAGGGATTCATTATTTTCGTAAATAATAAAATTTAATAAATAAAAAATAATAATAAAAATCTAATAAAAGTCTTTTTAGAAATTCAATTTTTTTCTTAAATAATAAAACTTATTGTAGAATTTCAATTATTTTTAATAAAATTTTAATTGAATTCATCGAAAAATATTATTATTCTTAAAAAATTTATTAAAATTTGTCGAAAGAATTCAATTATTTAAAAATTTGATGATAAAATTTTTTATGATTCAAACGGACGACACATTTATTTGTAATTATTTTTCGGTGAAATTCGATTGATACTATTTCTCGAAGTTGCGAGTATTTAATGCGAAATTGAATTCCTTTGAAACCTGTGCCGTGTCTCTTCTCGCTAGAAAACGTATAAAGCTAATAGTAAACAACTGCTGCGGTAATGCATGTTGATCGTAAAGGTCATAAATGTAACATATGTAAATAAAAAGCTCATATGCAAACGTTTTGGGAATATTTCTCAAATTGGTGCAACTTGTTGTTTACGACCCTGTACACTTATATTCGGTCCAGCATATAAATATCCTCCTCTACTTTTATAGTTTATATATCACGCTCTGTGTGGAGCTTCCGCACCAGTCGTTTAATTTCACAAAGCTGCAATTCATTTTCTAATATATCTTGAGATCAATATTTATTTACTGTTTACTGTTTACTGTGCGGTACAATTTACTATGATAATAGTCAAAAATTGAGTGCATATTTTTTTTCTCTATATCT